GGAGAATATATTTCCTGATTACATAAAATTAAATGGGTAGAAGACAATCTGCAGGGGAAAAACACAGGACAAGACAAATTACATTCAGTTTGCTTTTTTAATATTGAAATTTGATGCTCTAAAAGGTAAAGAGATGTTGTTAAATACAAAAACCTAACCATTAATAGTTTCACATTTGGTAAGTAATACCATAAATACACTTTGGAAAAATACGTATTTCAACACTAATCACTAATTTGATCAACACTAAGACCAAGTTGCTTATATATAGAGTTAAAAAATAAGTAAAATTAGCATTTTCAAATCAATTTTGATAGTCTTAAATGCTACTTTAGTTACTCAACAGATGTTTATTATTGCTAATGGTACCACTGTGTTTACTTTAAGGTTATCTATTCATTTGCATATGTGCAATGGCTGCGTGGACTTTAAAAAAAATTCAAATATCTTGAAAGACAGTGAAAGCAATTTGCAGTACGTCTAATGTACCAGTATGAACAAAGATAAAACAGGCAAAACAATAGTACCTATATACTGTGGGGCAAAATTATCAGCATCATACAGTACATGAGTGAAACCCTTCTTCCACCTTCATACCCCAGAAAACAATGTCACTGTGTTTTTTGTAATTGGTTTTAGTAATTTTTTGTTAAGTCAAAACTTTGGTAAGCACGCTTTGCTCAAAGTCAGTACCATGTCTAAAGATCATAACCACAATGAAATCCTGTAAAAGCCAGGTGAGGTATAAAACCATAGAAGCACATGTTCCTTTTCAGTCAAGATTCACAGTAAGCACACGTCACATTACATGGAAAAAACAAAACACCATGTTACAGTATATGGTAATGTACTGACTTTTTACTTGCAGGCCTTAAAAATTTCACCATGTTGTGATGAAATAAAGTCAGACACACCTAAAAACAAAAAAAGGGCAGCATTCCAAAAGTTTGCAGCATACATGAAAATGAAATACTATGTGCGATTCTCCATCTTTTTGTTTGTGAGGATTAGGGTTAACCCTCACAGTAACTAAACTGATCTTGCTGGCTCCTCATTAATTTTAGGTAACTAAATACTTCTTTGAATAAATACAAAAACTACTGTATACATTTGCAACTGCTCAACTAACTTTAATCTAGCAAATTTTGTTTGTAATAACTATTGGTGAACATGTACCCATTTACCCAACATTAGTTGCTATAAACAGCTGCAAGAATCCTGCTGAGTGCAATCAAGCCAAACTACTGTATACACTAAAATCAAAATTGCTTATTCTTTATGGAGCTTGACAAGTACTGGGGTGATAAAACTGTCCATAGACAGTATCTTGTCAATATTCATGTTTCTAACAGAAAAAAAACAAATCTAAATAGGGATCTCTTACTTGGGTTACTGAATAATTCTGGCCATGGCATTTTATAATGGATAAGAAACATATTTTTGGCATTTGTACCAAATTTATTACAAAATAAACAGCAATACCCGTTTATCTGGAACAAGCTTAAAATGTCAAGCAGCTGGAAACTGGGTATTTGTAAATGTAGAATATTATTTCATAATCCTTCTGCTTGCAAGAAAAGCAACAAAAATTTGGCAAGTCACGCTACCCAGCTATAACTGAACCTTTTCTACACGACTTCTTTTCAGAGTGATATCAGTGTAAATTAAAGTATACTGTGTGTATCAAACAAGCAGTAACACTGGAATCATTTTTATTTGTTTTCACTGTTCTCCCCACCCTCTTTTTTCCCCAAATACGTTTTAATTAATACAAAAACTGCTAGGCATGTTGGAGTTAACTGTCATCATAACGCACTGCACCCAGAGGAGGGCAGAGATAAACACTATTTTAAAATAATAATAATAAAAAAAAAACAACAACAATCTCAACTGTAGTGGAAAAAAGCACTTGGTATTCCATAATGGTCCATTTAAGGCACATTTCTGAAATGAAACAGGTCCAGCCATGTTATTTCTATAAAATAAAGATGACCAAAGACATTTCAAACTCCATCTGTCATCATTTATCGCTTTCAGGCATAATGCACTTTTTATATTTCAGTTATAAGGCTATACGTCACAGCACATAACAGCTTGATCTATCTACATATAATGTTTGGTTTAGGCAACAATATGACAATGCAGAATACCTAGAAGTACCACCTTGCTGTGATGCATCAACAACTTAATACTGTAAATAAAAAAAGTTAAGCAGTGCTTTGTTTTTTCCTGGAGGTCAGTCTCACAGTTACACTACTGCTCATCTTGCGACCTCCCAATTCAGCCTGTCAGACAAACATATTCCTTAGTGTGCTGGGATAAACATGTCCTGTCATACTGAAGATCTTTGATGACAGGACTAACTGTCTGCTGTTGTCAATGGATAACTATCACTATTCCACAGTAACCTTCCTCCTTCATGTTGGCTGACAGAAACAAGTAATAGTTGCCTCAGTGTAGCAGTGTGGGGAGTAAAAACCAAAGAGGCCAAATCCCTAAGACAGAGGAGGATCTATTCCGCCCTGTTGTTTTCTGAGCACAGGCCTTCCCACTGTACCCATTGTAGCATTGGCACTGGAAGCTTGTGCGGAATAGAGCCAGCTCAGCTTTGCCAGGCACTCCTGTAACATGGAAATGGCCACCCTGAATGGTAATGCTCTGTGTCAATGGGCTGAGATGCAGATATACATCACTGTCTGACGTCCTGCGAAGACAGCGGCCGTGGGAATTGCACAACACTTGACTGCACTGGTCTGCTGCTGTAGACACATTAATCAGGTAACGGCCCAGTGGTCCTTGAAGATAATTATTTAGGGTGGAGCAGCTGACCTGGTGTATAAAAAAAAAAGAAAGAAAAACATATTAGCATCAAACCACTAAAGCTATTCAGCATCAAATAAGGAGAGAAAGAATAGCACTTACACTGCTGTTTGCATAGGAGGTGTCCCCCCAGAAGATTACACCTGCAGCTCCGAGTGCAACGCTCTCACCAATGGTGGAGACCAGATCTGTCTGCAAAACATTTACACAGTTCAGTTGTATACCATATAACATGCGAAGCACAGAAAATTATTTTTAGTACATTTGAGTTCCACTCAAATCAAAATTGTTATATGTTGAAGAAAGTGTAATGTTTAATGTGTAAAGTGTTTCTTTCTAATGCTCTCATAGCAAAATAGTGATGTTATTCAAGAAGTCAAACACAAGCCAAGCTGAAGCAGTGGTTAATGTTGATTTCAGTCACTGACTGTAATCCAGGTGCACACACATGCATACAAAATACAGATGTTTCATATCCAGCAACAATGTGTAGTTGCCCTGGTGACCTCCCATCAGGTGTAGGTAGAAAGTGACAGTGTCACAGGGTCATGAAACATTTAGCATTAAGCTAAATAGGTGGACTAAACAGATTAAAGCATACATTCACATTTTACAGCCCCAGGCACTTGATGAATGTTTGCTCTAGCCAACTAACCTCAGTTAGGAAGGCCATATGAATCTGATTGATGTAAGTAGGTCGGGTATAAACAAAAACTGGATGAGCTAATCCATCCCCAACAGAAGCCAGGCGCATTGCCTCCTTCACCCTGTTTCGGACAAAGAGGCGCCCGTAATTTGTAAAGCGTAGTATAGAGTCCAGGTATATGGATGGGAAGAAAGCGGTACTTTCCTTCCACAACCAGTTAAGCTGATCATTGCGAGCCATCTCCTCAACAGGGCAGCGGCCTGTGTAGTTCTTCAGGTTACTCTTGTAGTCATGGTTGTAACAATCTGGAAACAGATAGAAGCCCCATAGTTGATTGGGCCTCAGACTCCTGGCATATTTTAGAGTCCCTTGCATGAAACTGT